AGCGAGGAGAAATAAGTTGAAGATCTTGGGTAACTTGGCTTCAACTTTGCTCTCCTTTAAAAAAATATCTCTTATTTGTGGCTCCATGAATATCACTGGGCTGCTACAGCAGTACCAACATTAATATATGTCAGAATTTTTAAGGATTCAGAGATTGAAGCAATATCTGGATAAATTACTAAGTGAATGGATAAATAATTACAAATAGTTGAGATAGGACAGCTCAGCAAGTTATGTCTCATCAGCTGAACATGGTAATTGATTATTTGCTTGGCTTTAGTCCCCTGTGCGTGCTGCAGAAGTCTCTGACTTAAACCACCTTCAACTCAAGCTGAATCCCTCAAAAAGTTTCAGCTTCTCAAATGTGTGGTGCAGACATATCAGTTTACCAGTGTCTTGGCTTTGTGTAAATTACTCTGCATTTTCCTAAATAGAGAATAATTTCTTGCAATTTATTTTCTTCCTATTACTTCCACCAGTTAATTACAGTGGAAACATAAATTACATAAATAGAAAAATATGAATAAAAATGTTTAAGAAGAAATCACATATTTACAAAAAATATGGAAAACTAAGAAACTAAAATAGCACTAGATTACATTCTCTACCTTTGAATAGTTAAATGACTGGGGAAGCTCAACAGAGCCTTTTCAGTATCATTTCTTCTAAGCAATTTATGGCAAGAAAAAAAGAATAAAAGAAAATTGTTAAAAAATATTATACTCTGCAGCTTTTGTGTTGCTATTGCTCTTTTGTTGCAGCTTATACTGCTCCCTTTTTTTACATTTTTGCTTTAAGCAATAGATTTTTCTTTTGGACCTTTTCACTTAGGTTGAATTCCAAATGGCCATGTTAAATCTTTGAATTTAATTTTGAACCAGAAGACAATGTATTTTGGTAGTCAGAAGAGCACAATGTATCTTGATAGTCATAGTTGCCTTTAATAATACAAAGGGCTCAAGTCAAAAATGGAAATAGTCTCATTTAAAACCACAATAAAAGGTAGGTACACCTGATTTTAATCAGTGTAAAAATGAAGTAAATTGATATGAAAGATCCCTGATTACTTTTGTAGTTTGAAGTGCAATTTTGTGGCAGAAATAAAATTTTCCTCTCCTAAGGTCACCACAAAGAGTAATAAAATTTGCATTAGAAACAAAGTCATTCCCCACCCCAATCTGCTATCCGGCAGGAAACTGAGGCTAAAATAAAAAATAAAAATAAAAATACAGACAGATAAAATTTATATCAAGTGGTCCTGTATGTATTTTAAATCACTGAAACTAATGGAACTCCTTGCATGATTAAAGACAGATACTGGCAAGGTGCAGAAAAGCATCTTGGGCTGCCAGTGCCACTGATAGAAATTCATATGGAGGAGTTGGTTCCTGCTTTTTCACACCCCCGTTCTAGGATTGGTTCACTGGATTTGGTGATTACAGAAAAATACAGCATCACTGGAGCTTGATGTTTATCTTCTTGCTCATTACCTGTCTGTGCTCTTGCAGGACAGGTTTAAGGTGTTCAGCCATTGTTTTGATGGTAAAAGAGCAGCTTAACAGACCTGAAATTCTGGACAATAATGTTCATCTACACAGCAGTTTCACTGTTATTAAGTTCTCCACATATTTTTGAGAACGATTCACAGTTCATTGATTTTGGTATTTAAAATGTGTTCCTTGATATAAATACTCTTCAGACAGTTCAAATTGATCTCAATACAATCTTAAATTCTATTTAGGCACTCATTGAGTTCAGTGTTCTCAAGGAACTTAGTGAAAAAAGAGAAAAATAAATTAACTACCTGGTTGCTTCTGTAGCCTCTCAGGAAACTTGCCCTTCAGTGCTTTGGTGGCGACGGAGCATTTGAACTGCAAAAGTAAAGGCTTCAAATCAAAGTTCTGATAAATTGGCAGCTGCACTAATACACAGCCTTTTTATTTCCTTTCCAAGCTCTCTGCTCCATCCAGCCCAGGAGTGGCACATTAAATAAATTCCCACCCTCAAAAGTCTCTGTGTTCTTCACCAAACGTGTTCTATTAAATACACCCGTGCCAAACAAGTTATTATTCACCAGTAAAACACCTTTTATCTCACTAATACCTTTTTCAACAATCACCAGGGCAGCTGTAATAAACCAGACACATCTAGAGGATGATCCAAGCAGGCACCTGGCACCTGGAACAGCCCCTGGAAGGGCCCTCCCCTTTTTTACCCATTTTCCAAAGGGATCAGTTTGGCACCTAATCCAGATAGCTAAGTGGGGTGAAAATTGTATATTAATTTTTTTATTCATAATTTTAGGTAGGAAAAATATCTGAAGTTGCTGAATTTATAATAAGCTTAAGCAGGGGGAATTGCCTTGTAGTTTCTATCAAGTAAGAGCACACATGTGGACCTTGCTGTGGCAAGAATATTAATTGATGGTGACTTGACTGTGTATTTGCTAACAAAGTCAATCAAAGTAATTAAGAAGTGAGGTATCTGGTGACTGAGCACCCAAAGCTTGTGTTGTTTCACAGGTCCATGCTTATGCACTGAAACTCAGGCTTGAGCAAGTAAAGGCTATTTCTTGCCATCTTTTAAAAATTAAGTCTTGGGTAAAGTCATAGGTTTATAGTGCTGAATTCAATTTTATCCAGATTGCATCTGCCATTGTGGAAATTGCTTATCTGTGTGTTTATTTGACATAATCAGATCTTGCTGTGGTGCAGGCTGGCACACTCCCTGCTGGATTGTGGAACAGTATTGCTGCCTGACTGCTGATGGTGCAGGGCTGGATTTATGCAAGGCTTGAAATATCTCACAAAAACTATTAAATTTAGGATTATACATGATGAGTATCCCTATTTCTTTTAAACAGATAACTGTAATGCTATTTGATATATATTTAATGCAGTAATAATTGCATTTGTACTCTTGTGTTGATAGCAACACCCAAAACAATGTACATCTCTATTTTACAAAAAAGGGAAAAAGATATTTTTCTGGTTGTGTCTGTAGCTTTCTTGGAATAGCAAAGCACTTTGCAACATCCAAATATTGTCTATCATATTCTATTTAAAGAGTAACGAACAGACACAGAGAAGAACTAAGTTTTATTTTTTGCTGCTTATATCTGCATTGCTCCATCCCAGAGGAACTCAAAGACTTGCTTTATAGTTTGATGGCCATTTCATGACACCCAGCCACCTTCATCACATATTTCTATCTGCAAAAAAGTAAATGCTACATCTGAAGCCTTGGGACAAATTCTCATTGTGTTAATCACAAAATGTAAGTGCAGTCTGAAAAGCCACTTAGTTCCAATACAGGAAGGTGGCTCTTGATAAACTCAATATAATTTACTAGTTTTTAAAGTCTGTAAATTCCACTCATGTTAATGAATTCTAAATATTATCCTGCTTAGCTGTTGTTTCTGGTGAAGATGAAAGGGTTTTGTTTGATGTGTGCAAAGAAGTGACTACAGAAAATGGTAAATTAATTGGAAGATGTCATCTCAGGAGAATGTTTTTGACATGAGGGCTGTAAGGCTGTTAACAAACAGACCAACTCATTTGTCTCATCATGAAATGAAAATAAAAAATCACAACATTCTGATAAAATCTTGACTAGGAAATGCCTGCAAGACTCTTTGAAGCCTTGGGTTCTTTTCTTGCCTGGGCTTTGGCACTCTGATTTATGCAAACCACGCTGCACAGAACTGGAAGTGAAATAGGTTCCATGCAGAACAGATGGATCAGGGCTAAGGCAGGGATGTGCACTGCAGATGAGAACAGATTAATACCACAAGGGGAGACTGGAGGAAAATTGGGAAGATGGGGGCATTTGAACTAATTAATGAGTCATTTCCAACTGATAGCTCTGCCTTCAGGCACAGTGAATAATATCAAGGAAGCATATTTAAAATTTTATAAGTTTGTTTTAATGAAGATTAGAATGAAGTGCCATAATTTTGGATCATTAAAAAATATCCTGTATTCCCCCATCCCAAAATGTACCTTAGTGATTTAAATATCACAGTGTGCACTGGGACATGAATTGCTGTTTGGAAAACCCATGGCAGATTCATGGAGTTGGCACAAAACTTTTGGGAATGGGTTTTTTGGAGGAGCTGTCTGAGCTGGGAGAACATGCTCCTCCACTTGAATCCAAGCCACAGAGATGCAGCCCTGCTGTGTCTGGAGACATGGTCTGGTTTCTAGATCTCATTCAGATGTCTCTCCAAGTCTTTATCTTATCCAAATAGCCTTCAGTTATAGAGGCTCAGACTTCCCAAAGCTGTGACAGGGCAAGTAAATGTGGATTTAAAAACCTTTGAATGAGATCTTCAGATGTATATTACAGAACAAGGTTTCAACAGAGTTATTTCACATCTCTAAGTTACTTTACTGTTGCTAATGGATATTTCACTGTGGGGCAGACAAACACATAGAAATAAAGAAGTCTACATGAAAAATAAAATTATTGTAATATGCACAAAACCATCAGAAACAATGAAGATATTTGAGAGATATGCAACTGCCCAGTATCAATTTTGGTTATGGGTTGAAAAGTATGATTCTATGTGTTAGGACATCAAAAACCCTTCCTTTTGCCAAGCTCAGAGCATATAGATGAGCCTGATTGCCTGTATTAATGATGAAAGTAGTTCATAAGAGGGAAAAGGAGCTGAGAAGAGGAAATGTACAGATATCTGAATGCTCTGAATTCCTTATGTGGCTTCTTAGCAGATAATTTTCAAGCTATGGAGGAGGATGGGAAACACTTTACAGTGAAGGAAGATTCTGAGAAAAATCTAAAGAAGATGGGTAGTTCATTTTGCTAGTAAGGAAATAGTCTGCATGGGTTTCTGTTCACCAGCACAGAAGATGTATTATTCCTCTTGTAAAAAACTCTTTCATTTCAGGCAAAGCTTAATAAGAACAAAGAAAGGTATGAAATGGCTCACTTGACTAAAACTTGATTCTCATCCTGATGATTTCATGCTTTCATTGCAGGTTGCAAATCTGGCCTGTTCAATCTCCAATAATGAGGAAGGTGTGAAGTTAGTCCGTATGGCAGCCACACAGATTGATAGTCTGTGCCCACAGGTGAGTGAAGATTCCTGGTAAAATCCACTTGAGAAGTCTTTTAGCACCGAAAAGCATTAGAAGAAGAGCATAGCCTTGTCTTTGTCATGAGACTGTTGCCTGATTTCCATGAACTGTGAAAAATACATCCATATCTTGCAATCCTTCATGTCAAATGCTGTATTTTTAACACAGTCCACAATCTATTTGCTCTTTCCCTTAAAAAAAAAACCCAAATAATAATAATAATTAAAAAAATTTACCAATCCTCCTGTAACAAATGGCTTTGATTAACAGGTAATTAATGCTGCACTCACGTTGGCTGCCAGACCCCAGAGCAAAGTAGCCCAGGACAACATGGATGTGTTCAAGGACCAGTGGGAGAAACAGGTGCGAGTTCTCACTGAGGCTGTCGACGACATCACTTCAGTGGATGATTTCCTCTCTGTTTCAGGTACTGGGGTCAAGAGGCTTTTCCAAAAATATACTGCTAAATTAAAGTATTGGGTCAGAGCAGATAAAAGCTATAATTACTAAAGCATCATTAATCCATTACTCTGTGTGTATCAGAATGCTGATTTTCTGTACTCAGTAGGACCACCACGCCGTGTTAATTAATCCCTGGTAGCAATCCCTCTTCACCTCCCAGAAAATAGCACCTATTTGTGCTTCTATTCCTGGACAAGCTTTGTTTCAACTCAGGCACAAAGTAGGATTTTGCCCACCTTCTAAAAATGAGTTCCAGACTTGTTACAGGCCGAGAGTATTTGTAGAAATTGTTGTAATCTTGTGCAGTTTAGTGAGGAAAGAGGAGGAAAGGTGGATTTTACATAATCACAGGATGGTTTGGGTGGGGAGGGTAAAGAAGGGATGGAGAAGAGAAGGACACTGACCCTGGGTCACAGTCTTTCCTCCATCCTCCTGGTAAAGTGCTACAACTTGTGGCAGAGTGGATTGTTATAATTTGATCATACCCAATGAATGGTGTAGTAACAAAGTGGTGCATGGCTTGGGTTAATTTCTGCTGCAGAAAACTCATTTTTCTATTTTGCTTAGAAGGGTGAATTGCAGTGTTGAGTAAGGACATAGAGTGTGCCAAGAGGCCTTTGCTTACTCGAATATCTCAGAAGAGCCAAACTTCATGAGACAGTCTGGCCAAAATGTTGCTTTGTTCTACATTATTTTCCTTGATATTTCTTAAATTTTCCAAAAGAGGTTTATGGGGAAAAAAATATTGAAAGAAAAAAAAAATAATTAAAAAAAATCCATTATTTTCCTTTTTTGCACTCTTTATGTTGTTTGGTTGTATCCTGTTACCCTTATTAACAGGGAAATGGTTTGGTTTAGTTAATTACACTCCTCTGTTCAACAGCCCTGCAAGTGTTTCCTGCAAGCCATTGCAAGAAAATGAAAATGAGCTCTCTGAATAGTAGGATACTTCAGAATATGGGAGCACATTGATTTTTCTTTGAGATTTGAAGCTGACAAAGACTTTCTGACAGAACTAGTTCTAAGAGAAAGGGATGACCAGGCTGTAAACTGCAGACCCAGTCCATGTGCAAATGCTGGAAATCTGGCTCAAATGTCCTTTTTCTTCTTTGTTTGAGGACTTTGCTTACTCCAAGTGCTTGTGTCCATAAACCAGAAGTAATTTAAATGGATGATGACTTTTTAAATTTCTTTTTCTCAAATCTTAATTTCTTCAAACAGAGTTTTCACTTAAATCCAAATTTTCCTAGGCAGCTGAGAAGTATTATTTCGTAAAGCTTAGATTCCTTTTTTCCTAATTCTTTGCACAGACATCTCTGTTAAACATGAGGAAAAAGAAATCCTGTTGCTCTTGCTGTAAAGTTTGGAAGCCTCAGTTTACACAGAGTATTTTTATTTTTGGATCTTAAACCAATGAAGCATTCAAAATACCACTATCTGTTTAAATGTACCTCCTGAAATGACACCTCCTCCTCTTCATATTGACAGTCACATTTGAAGGTATTTTTTAGTAATATGGTGGCTACCAAAAGAGAGCTGACCATAATTTTAAGAAGTTATTTCATATTCCAAATGCACTGGCCAAATTTGCTTCTTGTTGGGCAGAATTTGTTTGTGCCATGATAAAAGCAAATTGGTGCTGGTGAAATGGAAACAGCAAAGAAAAATTTTAACAAAGGACTTATTTTTCATTCTGTATAGGGAGTGTTTTAAACAAAGAATTTTGCCTTGCAAGTTACTCAGATTCACAGCTCAGGGAACTTTCAGTTTCCATCCAAAGTTGTTGCAGTGTAAAATTCAACATCATGTAAAACATTTCTGAAATCCTCAAATGATCCAACCTCAGAATTTTTAACTGTGAAGATTAGTGAGTCATTCTTTCTAGTGGCAAAGGATAATTAACAAAAAACAGTTGGTGAACTGATTAATTCTGTTTTACTACTACTACAAAGAACAGCATTTCCTTTTCAGTTCAGAGGTGTCTCTAGCAGAAAATCAAGTTGCTGTTTAGAGTCACTGAATTTCTCAGACTGGGTTTGGTCAAGTATGAAATTCAGTCTTGGTCTTACTAAAATTATTTTTTACTCTACTGGCTGCAGAGAATGCCTGGCCTAGTTAGAATCTTCATGCTTTCACTAATTTGTATGTGAGAATACTACATAAATTCTGATACTGCAGCACATGAGAGTAGATGGTCTGATCCAGAGACAGAAAAATAACAATGCATCTCCCAAGAATCCAATTAAGATGCTTGATATCACCTCCTATGAGCAGAGTCACTGTTGTCATCTCTTGCTTCAGATTATGCAAAGTCACACCTAATTATAAGGGTGTGTTATTAGAAATTTCCAGCTTATTCTCTGGCATAGATGGAGTGAGGGAGATGAACTGCTCATGCCCAGGTTTTGTGCTGTCTACAAAGGCCATTTGCTGTTGTCTTTTCAATGTGATGTTTTTTTCCTGACTTACTTAGGCAAAAATGAGCCAAATGTAATAAACATTTATGGGAGTGTGTAAATTCACCTTCAGAAAATTGCCCAGCTGTTTATTATAGAATCTACAGAATATTTGACTGCTATCCCTTTTGAATTCATTTTAATTACAATTTCATTATGATAAAATTCAGTGTGGTGTTTGAAATTAATTTACTGGTTTTCAAGGAATTACAGTTTGGGACACACAGCAGAGCTAAGATGATGTAGCCCAGTCCCTACTAAAATAAATATCACACAGATTTTTACTGTTATGTGACAATATCACAGAAGGGCTTTTGTTTTACAGCTTGGATAAAGGTAGATATCCATTTTTTAATATCCTGACATTTGCCCAAATGAGTAAGCTTTGCTGTGAGGAAGAGTGCAGTTGACCCAGGTGCATTTTTTAACCCCAATTCCAGAAAACCACATCCTGGAAGATGTGAACAAGTGTGTGATTGCCCTGCAAGAGGGGGACGTGGACACGCTGGACAGGACGGCGGGCGCCATCCGGGGCCGCGCAGCCAGGGTCATCCACATCATCAACGCAGAGATGGAGAACTATGAGACTGGGGTGTACACTGAGAAGGTGCTGGAAGCTACCAAACTGCTCTCTGAAACTGGTGAGTTTGGTGAAACGCTGAAAGAATTATTGAAATTCTCTTTAGTAATTTGAAACTTTCACTTGGTTCTCTGAGATCGGTAACTCTGAGGGAAATCTTGAAAGCAAGGCACAAACAAATAAATTCATGGCTGGGAGTGTGTTTTTTATTCTCTTCTCAGTGATGTTGCAGAACTGATACTGACAGGAGCCATATAAGAGAAGAAATTCAGTAACACATCAAGACTAGGCCACTACATCAAAGTTTCTATGATTTGAATAAATAATACACAGCCCTTTCTTCTGAGTTGATTGATTATGTATTGTACATCTCCAGAAAATCACTGCAAACATTACTCTTTGGTCTATGCATGTGAATATACTTGTTGATGACTGAAGTGTTGCTAAACAAAACAACTTTTCATTGAAAAATACATATAAGCAACTGAAAATGCACCACCTGATTGAAAAAAATATAAAAGTCTGCTAGACTGTATAAAAATACATAGATTATATAAAAGTAGAAAAGTCTGCAAGATTGATAGAATGAGAAGAAATATTCTTTCTTTTTTTTTTTTCAATCTGCTTTTGCCTTGCCAGAGCAGGGATTGGATTCATCTCAGTGTAGGTGATTAGGTCTGTGCTGGTCATTTTAAAGCCCTTTATATCAGTGCTCTCAGTAATTCAGTGCAGGCAGTGCTGCCAAGTACTCTCATCTGAAAGCAGTGGCTCTGGGTGGTTTTGGGTGAATCATGCTCCAAATTTCATTGACTTCACAGGCTGGGTCTCCACACACTGATCAGGTGCCCTGGGAGGATGGAGGTGCATGAATTGTGGGTGTCTGGAAGTGTCTGAGCTGATCCTCCCCTGCCTAGTTGCACTTGTTCACCTGAGGTTAAAAACATCAAGATTATTTTAGAAGGAACAAATGAATATTGCACCAGTTCAGGACACACCAAATGTGGCTTTTGGACCAAAAGCCCAGGAATTGCCCTGTGAGATGGAAAAGCAAAAAGTGTTCTAGCTCTGCAGTCTCTGTGTTCACTTTGAGAACGGGAATCAACAAAATAAGCTAAAAACTGATTTGGGGATGATTAAATATTACTTGTGATATTGTAGCCCCAGCTTAATGTCAGCCTATTTTTATTACCCTGCAAGAGATCAGTGGAATAAGTACTGTAAATTTTGCTCCTTTTTAAAAGTTTATGAGCTGGTTTTATGAATTCACAGAAGGAAAATAATGCCAGATTGATGTGGAAAAATATTTTGTTGCACTCTTCTGTTAAAGTTGTCTTTTGGTCAAGGAGGAGATATGAAGAATTCTTCCTACTATTAAGATTTCTTTATTAAACAAAACAAAATGTATGTTTGATCTTTATATTGAGCTAAAATTTGTGACCCAACTTCTATAAATTTTCTTATTAAAATTTTTTAACAAGCAGGTATAAAGTGTCATTATATAGATCAATAATATGCACAGCAAATACTTATATTCCATATTTAATTCAATTTTTGATATAATTTGAATTATAACTAAGTGTTATAAACTGTGGACTGAGTGCATCTTGACAACATCAATGTGTTAACATTGAGATTCAATAGTTAACAACAAGTCCCTGTTCCTCCAAGTCAAAATTTTTTATTTATTTTTTTATTTTATAAAGTGTAAATAAACTTGTGAGTATTAAAAAAAACCTGAAAATATTATGTTTACAATATTAAGAACTTTATATCATGTACAAATTGTGTAGCAGTAGTTCAGGGAATAGAGTGAGCCCAAATTCAATGAAGCTGGTGAACCTTAAACAATTGCTGCCAGTTGTGAATGTGAATCATTAATATTGGAGCACAATTTCTATCTGCAGCTTTTCAGGCTATTTACAAAGGCATTGATTATGATTTCTGTATGATTAAAAGAAGTAGAATTAACTGTGCCTTAGAATAAAGTGATTAAAATGGAATTTAGTCGCCCTATGCCGTTCTGGAATCACCATCCTTGGAAGTGTCCAAAGCCCTGTGGCTGTGGCACTTGGGGACAGGGTGCAGTGGTGAGCACAGTGGTGCTGGGGGAATGGTGGGACTGGATGGTCTGAGAGGTATTTTCCAACCTCAGTTATTCCCTGATCTGGGTACCTATGGATCCATGCATTTATTTCAATATTTTTTCAGTTCCTCACCTCCAGTTCCTGCCCAGGTGTTATCGAACGATCAGGAATGATGGCAGGGATTGATTTGGGTTGATTTGGATTCAGGTTCCACCCACACATGTGCACATCAAAATCTCCATGAGAAACACAGTCATGAACATCTCACTGTTTTCATCTTTATTTCTTCCTTTTTTTGTTTGTTTGTTTTGTTTTTTGGGGTTTTTTTAAATGACCTTAATTTAATTTTAAATGAAGTGCTTTTGGAAGCTGGGAAAAATTTATTTAAATTATGATGGAAAAGAAAGAAACAGATTACCTTTCTCTTATAATTATTATTTGCTTTTAATTGTCCACTTAGAAAAGGAAAACCTCTGTGAGTACTGGGTTGGATTCACAGTGGAGAAATGGATACGTGTTTGGAAAGACAAGTACCTTGATAATGGTTTGGTTTTGTTTTGTTTTTTGTGGGTTTGTGGGTTTTTTTGTTTTGTTTTGTTTTTTGGTGTTTTGTTTTGTTTTGTTTTTTGGTGTTTTGTTTTGTTTTGTTTTTGGGGTTTTGGTTTGGTTTTGTTTGGGGGGTTTTTTTGGGTTTTTTTTAGGGGGGGGGAATTAATCTCTCATAAAAATGATGTTGATTTGTGGGTTTTTTGTTTTGTTTTGTTTTTTGGTGTTTTGTTTTGTTTTGTTTTGGGGGTTTTTTTGGGTTTTTTTTAGGGGGGAGAAAATTAATCTCTCATAAAAATGATGTTGACAGTTTCTGAGAAGCTGCAAACATTGCTTCAATAACCAGTCTCACCTCCAAGTTTTATTAGTTTGTTGTTTTAATTTACAGCCATTGGAATATATGGGGTGGGGTTTTAAATGTTTCAGTGCTTTGTTGCCTGTGCCTGTCTAGCAAACTGCCTTTAAAGCCAAGTACTTGATAGGGACTGGATTCTTTACTCTGGCAGCAGTTTTAGGGAGTGACAGACTGGTTAACACACTTTTAAAATAGAGGACTTTCATTTTCCCTTAAAAACCACACCAAAAACCTAGCTCTTGCTTGCTGATTTTCTTATAAATCAAAGATGAAATCTATAAAACCATAGAGTCGATGGGAACAAACACCAAACTCATAGATTTTAGTGGATGTTACTCGTGTTACTCGTAAACCAGAGCTTCAATGTTCAAATTTTTTTTGTTGTTAATTGGTTGGCTTTGAGGTGGTTTTGGTTGTTTCTTTGTGGTTTTCTTTTTGTTTGGTTGAGTTATTTTATGGTGCCTCTGTTAAGTGTTATATTGTCATTCAGATTTGTAGAAAGCTGTGAAATCATCCTGTTACAAGTTCTCCAGGGCGGGAGAAAAAGGAGAGAAGGGTGGAAAGGACAAGAGAAGAAAGAAAAAGTTAAAAGCAAGGATAAAGGCAAAAGGAAAGGGAAGGAAGTAAGAGGAAACAGAGCAGAATTGCTGTTTGAATACTGATGTCCCTCATCCTGCTCAGTACCCAGAGTAGTCAAGGCCAGCTGAGACTTTCCCATTGCCTTCACCAAGGAGGAGACTCAAGTGTACTCAGCAGTTACTTCAAAAGTTGTAAAAACTGAAGACAAGAAGCCTGACCTTCTAAACAAAAATAATTGTCCCAAGAAAGAAATCAAGGAACAGGCAATGAGACCAGATCCTATTTTCCAAGATTTTTGAGGTTCAGGAAGGAGAAAAAGCCATGACATTCTTTAAAGGCCAAGAGAGTTGGGTTTGAGCTGGGAAAATTGGATTAGAAATTGCAGGGTTGTGATGAAAGGAAGTGAATGGGAAATGAAAGAGATAAGAGCAGAACAAGTAGGACCAGAACTGCCTGGGAAAGGCTGTGAAATCTTCCTTTTTTTCTTTTTTTCTTTTTTTTTTTTTTTTTTTTTCCCCTCCGGTTTGCACTGGGCTGTCTGGAAACCATCCTGGAACAGCAAGTACCATACTACTTGGGTTACTCCTGTGAGGGACACTGGAAATTTGAAATCGTCTGATTCACACCAGAAATTGGAGTTTCAGCTTTTAGCATGTTTTAAAAATATCCCAGTAACTTTGTAACTCACTGGTTTTAAGTAGGTCACTCCGACTTCTGTTTTGACACAATTTGTTTTATTTTGTCTTTATCAGAATGGGCTGAAGTTGAAAATCAGCACTACTGGCAATTCAGCAATAAGCCTGTGAGAGTTTTATCAGTGTGAGTAGGCCAAAACCCCTGGGGAAAGGGTTGAAAATTTTCTTTTTTTTTTTTTTTTTTTTTTTTTTTTTTTTTTTTTTTCCCTCCGGTTTGCACTGGGCTGTCTGGGAAACCATCCTGGAACAGTACCATACTACTTGGGTTACTCCTGTGAGGGACACTGGAAATTTGAAATCGTCTGATTCACACCAGAAATTGGAGTTTCAGCTTTTAGCATGTTTTAAAAATATCCCAGTAACTTTGTAACTCACTGGTTTTAAGTAGGTCACTCCGACTTCTGTTTTGACACAATTTGTTTTATTTTGTCTTTATCAGAATGGGCTGAAGTTGAAAATCAGCACTACTGGCAATTCAGCAATAAGCCTGTGAGAGTTTTATCAGTGTGAGTAGGGCAAACTTTAAAGATATTTATCACTAGGAAAAGGCAGCTCAATGATGTTATCAAACCTAATACTAAAATGTGGGAAAGATGGATTTTTCAGCAGTGATATGAAGGGAAACAAAATGTAGAAGCAAGAAGATGAATTTAAGCATAGCTGTAATAAAAAAAAAAACCCCATATTGAATCTGAGGGAGAGGTAAAAAATGTGAAATGGAGCCTATTTAAAAAATAAATGATGTTAAATTCATGTTTTATGGGTGTTCAGGTAGTTATAGTCAAACTTATGGATACCATCA